TTTTCAAGTGGAAACCTTCCTGGTATATTTCAGGGAGGCGAATTTGGCATGGGGTCTTATTTGCTGAAAGACCCTCAGTCCCCAGCAGATCTTGGGATACTAAAGCAACAGTAGTACTACAAGAGACTGAGTTCTTCCCTAGTCCCTTTTGTCTTTTTTTTCTCACTCTCCTGTTTTCTCCCCGAGGATTCTCCTTCCTCTTGACCCAGTCTTCTTCACCGCCCCCCCCATCTCTTCTCTTTCTTCCTCATTACCAAACCTGAAGAGCTCTAAATATTTGTGGCTCCAGGGATGAGGCAAGTAAAGTAGTTTCTAGTTCCCAGAAATGGGAGCAGTTGTAAGAAAAACAAAACAAAAACAAAAACCTGCTTCTAGCCATATTAACATTAATTTAGGGACTCTATTTTGAACTTATAGCTATCCAGAACATTCTGTTGGGTGTGAATTCAATATCTACATAGTAAATGGGATTTTTATGTCTAGGATGTCAATTTCAGGATGTTGATGCTATAATAAAAATAGACCATTAACCACATACATACTAGATCTGTTTTATGTGCATATTTCAGTAAACCAAGGAGGAGTGCCTATTTAAAGCAGATGAGTGGGGTCCGCAGGTAGCATAGTGATTGCAGTGCTGGACTCCCACATGGCTGACTGTGGTTCAAGTCCTGGACCTGGTGACCTGAACTCACGCTGGACATGTGTGAGTACATACCCAAAGTCCTGAGAGGAGTATTTTCATTCATTCAACAAACTTGCCTTGAGTATCTACTCTTCCAAGCACTATGCTAAATACTGAATATTACATTAAATCCAGCCTAATATTCTTTTGTGAGAAGCATCTCTGACCCAGTTAGGCTGTTGTATTGAAAAACTGGAGTCAGCTCAGATGTCAATACTATCGCTAGTCTGGGGGGTGGGATCTTCAAAAAGTTTGTGGAAAATATGTATTAAGAAAAACTATGCCTGGATTTCAAAATGTTTTTGCACCAAAATAAATTTGTACTTTGTACTTGAACTCCACTTTTCCAAGAAGTGTTTAAAGTCCCCTTGTAAGTGATCAATCACTCTCAGCATATATTATCTTCTAACCATTTAGAAAACTTCCTTCAATATGACAAAAAAATATATAGCAATGATACATAGACTGCAAAATGAATAGCTGACTCTAGGTTTGCTTCCTCTTTGGGAGAGAATAAAAACAAAATTCGAGGCACACTGCTATTGCAGAAAGACTACCAAACCTGGAGTCAGATGGCTTAGGTTTGATTTCAGCTTCATAATTTTAGGAAAGTTACTGAAACTTTCTGTGCTATTTTTTTTTAATCCTAAAAATGAGTCCAGAAATATTTGCCCTAACTTCTTGTGGCATTACTGAGAGTAAAAATAGTGAAATAATGTTTGTAAAAGTGCTCTTAAAAACTCTACAGCTCCATACAAATGTAACTGATCACAATGGAATAGTCTTTAATATTTTTCATGAAAAATCATTACATATGGTTTTCTTCTCTCTCTCTCTCTCTTTCTATCCCCCTCTCCCTCTTTAGGTGGGGAAACATATTATCAACTAGCATTGTTTGGGCAGTTGGCAGCATAACCTACAGGTATTTCCTCATGAAAGAGATGAGTTAGAAGTTTTCCTTGTTGAAAATGAAATGCACTCCCCGAGGGCCAGACTCAGAGTTGGAGATGCTTTGTTTACTGAGGGTTTTAGCCAAGGCTTCAGGTCCACAGAGGAAAACTCCTATTCTTGTACTTTTGGGGAAGAAAAAAAAGAAAAGACAGTTAAAATTTTGGGAGGAGATAGACTACAAAATAGGTGGGAGGGGTGTCCTACTTATTCCAGGCCTCGTGGGGCCATTTCCTCTGCTCCTTTGTCTTTTCTACAAATCGAAAGGGTTCAGATTGCTTTGTGGGAGAGTGGCTCAGCACTGTTAGTAGGGCAGCTGGGTAATTCAAAAGGCAATTGGCTTCCCTGGAAAACAAAATCCAACCATAGGTTTGGGAACTGGTCTCCTAAACTCTCTCTGGCACTTTGAAATCAGGAACAAATACATTTTAAGTACACCAGTTCTGCCAGCAGCTTGGCATGGCTTCATTCTTCTGAATTTTTAGTCTTAAAGACTTGCTCTTCAAGGTATGGCTCCATTTCTTGTAATGTGATGCCCCCAACCAAGTACCCTTGGCATCCACTCTTTAAGAATGTATATTCCCGAGCTCCACCCCAGACCAACTAAATTAGTATCTACATTTTGAAAAAGATCTCCAGATGATTTGTATGCCCATTAGTGTTAAGAAGAATTTAAAAGGTGAGTTTCTCTCTTAAAATCAGAGATACCTGAACTTTGTATTGGGCATGAATTCAGCCTCTATAAGGTAATTCAGATATTTTAGTTTCTAGACTATAAAGGTCTTATCATGCTTGAGAGTTGCTGCGTTAGGCAGACCACAGGCCTAGAGAACACCTTAGTGGGGGACTCCTTACTTGGGGTGTTGACTGGCAATTGTCTTGAACTCATTATCCCAGTTGGGCCGTCCATACAAAGTCTTTTGTTTCAGGCCTGTGATCACGTCTTTCTCCTGGTCGTGGTGCACAGCAAAGTGACTGGCCTGAAGGAAAGGACATAAATTCAGAAAAAAATAAAAAGAGAAATGCTGCAAAAACACATACAGAAATATTTACATATTTCACAAACCAAGTTCTTACTATTTTAAAACACAGATGGTTACACGTGCGTGCGCACGCGCGCGCGCGCACACACACACACACACACACACACACACATATAGCAAGGCACCATGCTGGAGGCGAAAAGGTAAACAAAGATGAACAGTCTTCCTTATGCAATTTACAATTTACAAAATGATACCTTGAAGTACAAATACAAATAATCTTATTTTTGGAATTGGATGTGGTGAGTGCCATCAAAGGGGCACCGATTTCCTAAGAAGTAGAAAGAAGGAAAGTGGAGTGGGAGGATTTCAATATCAGAGTCAGGCATCGAAGTGTGGGGAGTGTCTCACTGTTTTTCTCTTTGTTTGACTTTCTTTCCTTACCCTGATATACTCCTACTCCTTTGAGAAAATCCCTACCAACTGAAATATTCATAGACCAGAGTGCACTCATATGTTGGTAACATAATGAGATATCAAATCAAGCCTAAATCTAGTCCGTGTGTGTGTGTGTGTGTGTGGTCACATGTTTTTCTATTACCATTATAAGAGGCCTCAATTTGAACAACAGGTATTTTTCATAAAAGTAGTTCATTAAATTTATTTTTTAAAGATAAATCAGATTTAAAACTCACTGGATGAATGATAGGGATGGAAAAGGCTAAGAAGGATGGTTACTTTGGTTTAATAATCCAGTAGGGACTAGTTTTGTAAAACAAAATATTTTGTTAATACAATTAAGTCTCATAATTGTAAAACTATGTATGGTTTTTAAAAATAATAACTTCAACACAATTTATATATTATAGATTTTTTCCCCTGAGTTTCTTTTTTTAAAATCAAAGAGTTTTTGTTTCATTTTTAACTTGCAGAAGTGGCATCTTGAAACCACTTTTTCTGGAGCAGCAATTCTCATAGTCATGTGTTTCCAGATCTACACTTGCTACAAGACTTGGAATGTTTATTGTAAACAAAAGCCAAAAGAGAAGTCAATCTTCACAGTGACAGGGTGCACATGAAAGATGTCCCAGTTCAGAAACCGATGTATGGGTAGAGATAGCTTCTATGCTTTGAATGTGTCCCCTCCAAAATTCAGGTGTTACCAATCTGAAATATTAAGAGGCAGAACCTTTAAGAGGTGATTAGTACGCAAAGGCTTATATCTCATAAATAGGATTAAGGCCCTTATACAAGAGGCTTCATGAAGCATTCAGCTTGCCCTACCTCCCTCCACCTTGTGAGGACATAGCATTCCTCTCCTCTGAAGGATGCAGCCCTCACCAGACAACCAAACATTCAAGTGCCTTGATCTCTAGAATTGTGAAAAAATATATTTTTATTCTCTATAAATTACCCAGTCTATGGTATTTTGTTATAGCAGCACAAATGAACTAAGACACCAGCTGAGAAACTCAACAGAAACAGGCAGAGATTCTTGACTTAGTGCTTCATTCAGGATGATAGCTGATGCTGCATCCGGGTCAAGTCATTAATATTGGCTTATTTACAAAAATGTTATCCCTTCTAGGAGTCATTAACTTGTTCAGAGTTTTTTGATTAAGGAATTTTGATATTTGGGACTAGCTATTCTTACCTGTAAAGGGCTGTCTCATTAATTGTAAAATGTTTCAATTGCCAAATGTCCCTGGTAGAGGTGGGGTGGAGGAACAAAATTGCCCCTGGTTGAGGACCACGGCCTTATTTCACTATACTAATCTCCAAATATTTTTTAAAGCAAACTGTCATTTGATACACACAAACACACACACATCCATATACATATAAGGGGTCTTCAAAAAGTTCATCAAATACATATTATTAAAAAGATATCCATGCATTTCAATATTTTTCCAAAAAGTAAAGTTGTACTTAAATCAGTTTTCCAGAAACATTTTTTTAATTGCCAGAGGGTACGCGAGCTTATGAGAGAGAGAAATAGAGAGGGAGAGGGAGAAATCATTCCCTAATGGGGTGTGGTCATGCTGCAACCCAATCTCCATTTCTCCGTCCCATTGGAATGTTGGGCACATGGACACATGTACCCAGCATAATTTTCAAGCCACTGGGGCCAGAAGTCAAACTACAATCCCTTAACCAATAGCTTTTAAGGTTAACTTTCCACGAACTTTCTGAAGTGCACTTATACATACACTATACACACACACACACATACACATATCATTTTCAATAGGTATACATTTCATTATTTACAAGTGATAATCATGTACTACTGGGAGTTGCTAAGAATGCAAGCTCTAGATCATTCTTACTCTGCCACTCACTTGTTGGGTTCCCTTGGCAAAGGACCTAACCTGTTCTGGGCCTTGGTTTCTTCATTTGTAAAATGTCAGTAGTAATAGTAGCTAACTCCTAGTGTTATTGAGAGAATAAAATTAGATGATCTATTTGGTTGTTGGAAAAGTCATGAAGCATTTTTGTGTAGAAAATCATGTCATGGCTTTTCTGATGACCTCGTATGTAAACACTAAGGATAATACTTGGCACTCGTATTTGCTTAATAACTACAAATGTATTGAGTATATTATAAAATGTACATAAACATATAAATTAAAGAATATACTTACATATATTCTTTTTTGTGTTGTGTACATATATAAATATAGAAAGAGACCGAAAGAGCAAGAGAAAAACTATTCTTTCCCTCATAATCCAGTGGGTTATCTTCTCTGCCTGTTTTGAGACCCCTTGGTGGAAGCATGGCTCTAATTATGTCAAAGTCATGACTTCTGTTTCCTTGTAGGCTCCTTAGCTTTGAATCTAGACTTAACGGTCTAAACATTATGTGCAAAAGCTGAGGGAAAGTGAAGGGGCTGGATCTATTAACTGTCTTTAGAAAAAAAGCAATACCCAAGACACACAATCAGCCAAAGGGAATTTAATAAATAATTCAGTACACTATGGAAAGGATCTGAGTCTTGGAATCTTGTCCTTACCTGAGACTCATCCCAGCCAGTGAGGTAGATGTTGTAGCTGAGGAAATCGGCATTGTTCTTCTCCTGCATCTGGGTCTCCAGCAGCTCTAGCAGGTCTGCAAACCACTCAAAGGCATGAGTGTCTCGGCACAGCCAGTAGAAGTAGATCTGAAAGAGGGACATATCAGGAAGCTGATTATATTTGGGATAGGCCCTATCAGTATTAGCATATAAATTTCTATTCCCAAAGTTTTTTTCAGATGCTCAGAATGACTAGAAACATAGATTTTTAGGAAGCTCTGGACATTTCACAGTCTATTTCACATAAACCCTTCTGGCTTTGGCACTGGCAAGGCAGTCAATAAATAGCTTGACCTCAGAAATACACAGCATGAGGGAGAAAAAAGAAAAAGAAAAAAGAAAGAAAAACCAACCAAACAAACAAACAAAACAAACAAACAAACAAACAAACAAAACAACTGGCATACCACTTTTCCCTCTGGGTCTTTCTTGCTCTCCCCAAATCCCTGACTTCCCTTGTACTTGCTCTCAGAAAGGTCAATAGAATCTAGACTAACAACAGTTATCATAGGCCATCTCCCCCGCCTGCCACTCCCAGTCACGAGCTCCTAAGGAAAAAAACAATTCTAATCACATCTCCTCTACATAGAAATGACATGAAAGGGAAGAATGAAAAGCCAAAGTAAGCCTAATGTCCCTCTTAGAGTTTATCTTTACAATTATAAGAATGTCTCAAGGTTTAATAAAGATGTCCTTTATCAGGTAATGAAATCAAATTTACATGTAACAAAAAATGTACCCTGGAGGGCCAGTCTTGTGGCCTATTGGTTAAGGCAGCTGGATCCTACATGCCCAACTGTAGTTCAAATCTCAGACCAGGAGGCTTGAAAAACATTCTGTGAACATGCATGCATACCAAAATTTGAAAGGATGGAGAAATGGAGAAGCGATTGTGGTGTAACTATACCACACTGTGGGGGGCGGGTGCTTTCTCCCTCTCCTTCTCTCTGTGTCTCTCTCAGGTGAGCACTCTCTAGCAAATTAAAAAAAAAATTTCCTGGGAATTAATCCTAAGAAGATAACCCCAAAAAAGTAAAAGCTTCATGTCTTCTGCCCTCCCCCTGCAAAAGAAGTGTTGGGTAGGGAGAGGCTAGAAATTTAACTGATATCTAATACAAGATGATAGAAATATTTTTCTGCTGTATATCCTGTCCATGGGACATGAAGGATTCACTAAAACTCATCTTTTTGAAGCCTGTGATGACACTAAAAAACATCATTTAAATGTTTGACAAAAATTAAGATATGAAATTATAATCCTCAATATTTATAATTTCCAAAACTATGTGGAAAAATATGTAATTATGTGGAAAAATACTAGAAGGGAATACACAAAAAGGATGGCTATTATGTTGGGGTTCTAAGTACTTTTTTTCTCTTTCTTCCAGATTTCCAGTAACGTTATCTAAATTTCCAGTAATGCTGAATAAAACACTACAAATGCTATTACTTTTGCTAATAGGCCTGCTTATATAGAAGCACATTTAATTTATCAAATAATCCTTTGAAGAACAGCCTGCCTCTCTGGAACCACCCACAGCTTCTCCCATGGTTTCTGTCAGTCTCACCCCTGAAGGAGCACTAAAGCCTCACTTGACAGTGTGATGACCACTGTAGGCCCTCCAATAAATAAAGGAACATACCTTTTTGAGCCTCAGATTGGTGGCATTATTGCAATATTTGTACCAGACAGACTTGAGAATGGATGCAAAGGGAGTGACCCCAATCCCTGCTCCCACCAGCATCACCACCTCATAGCTGAACACATCCTCACTAGCTGTGCCAAAGGGCCCATCAACTGCGATCCTGAAAAGAAATGGGGAAAAGATATTGATAGTTACAGAGATAGTTTACTCTTCAGAATAAGATGGGAAATCAATTATTATTAGGAATGTGCAATTGGTCGATTTGAACTGGAGCAGTGTATTTATGGGGCACTTTCTACTAAAAAATAACTTCGAAGTAACCAACTTAGTGTCAACATTGGAGTTTGAAGTAAGAAAAGAAATTTTTAGCTAACTGAAGACATTTGGCAACACAGCATGAGTATTTTTTCATTCCCCTCTCGTTTGCATACACATATGCATGCATGTGTGCATACACATGTCTATATCTCTTTCCAGGGCATCACATGTTGGAAATTCCTGCTCACATTCCAAATTGAAGTGAGAATTTTCTATATCACTAACATCTTGTAGATTTAATATTCCCACTTTGCATTTGTCTATTTATTGAGCTATTCAACAAACTCTTCTTCAGGATCTACTAAGTGACAAGTGACTGATACCGTGATAGGCATATGGACAGAAGAAGGCTAAGTTAATAACAAATGACATTTATACACAAATAAATTATTCTAAGTAAAAATTAAGAATATCTTTGATATACTATATTTTTTAGGAATATTAATATAACTTAGCCTTGGCCCTTACATACTTAAAGAAATTTGGGAGTTTTTATTACCAATATTTAATTCAAATGTCCTATATTTCATATCAGACTCATATTAAAAAATTGGATAAACATAGCACATAAAGAAATGGGAACACGGAAATAGCTACTTGTATTCTTAGAACTTGTGTGTTTTGTCAGAGACTCAGGAGATAGTACAAAGAGATAACGTGAGAAGAAGAACTACTTAGTGCCATTTTTCCTGAACTCATACTCCTTTGTATTATGTTCTGTATACTCACTTAGGTAGTTTCCAGGCATCTTGAAACTCCTGCTTATCACAACCACAAGCCTTGAACAATCCCTCTGTCCAGTCCCCAACGATACGGATATGGATGCTGAAGAAGTCTTCCTCAGGAGCAGAGGTCAGTGTGAAGGGGTGCCACTCCAGCTTAGACACTTTGGGGCATATCCTCTCCATGGGACATGAAGGATTCACTAAAACTCATCTTTTTGAAGCCTGTGATGACACTAAAAAACATCATTTAAATGTTTGACAAAAATTAAGATATGAAATTATAATCCTCAATATTTATAATTTCCAAAACTATGTGGAAAAATATGTAATTATGTGGAAAAATACTAGAAGGGAATACACAAAAAGGATGGCTATTATGTTGGGGTTCTAAGTACTTTTTTTCTCTTTCTTCCAGATTTCCAGTAACGTTATCTAAATTTCCAGTAATGCTGAATAAAACACTACAAATGCTATTACTTTTGCTAATAGGCCTGCTTATATAGAAGCACATTTAATTTATCAAATAATCCTTTGAAGAACAGCCTGCCTCTCTGGAACCACCCACAGCTTCTCCCATGGTTTCTGTCAGTCTCACCCCTGAAGGAGCACTAAAGCCTCACTTGACAGTGTGATGACCACTGTAGGCCCTCCAATAAATAAAGGAACATACCTTTTTGAGCCTCAGATTGGTGGCATTATTGCAATATTTGTACCAGACAGACTTGAGAATGGATGCAAAGGGAGTGACCCCAATCCCTGCTCCCACCAGCATCACCACCTCATAGCTGAACACATCCTCACTAGCTGTGCCAAAGGGCCCATCAACTGCGATCCTGAAAAGAAATGGGGAAAAGATATTGATAGTTACAGAGATAGTTTACTCTTCAGAATAAGATGGGAAATCAATTATTATTAGGAATGTGCAATTGGTCGATTTGAACTGGAGCAGTGTATTTATGGGGCACTTTCTACTAAAAAATAACTTCGAAGTAACCAACTTAGTGTCAACATTGGAGTTTGAAGTAAGAAAAGAAATTTTTAGCTAACTGAAGACATTTGGCAACACAGCATGAGTATTTTTTCATTCCCCTCTCGTTTGCATACACATATGCATGCATGTGTGCATACACATGTCTATATCTCTTTCCAGGGCATCACATGTTGGAAATTCCTGCTCACATTCCAAATTGAAGTGAGAATTTTCTATATCACTAACATCTTGTAGATTTAATATTCCCACTTTGCATTTGTCTATTTATTGAGCTATTCAACAAACTCTTCTTCAGGATCTACTAAGTGACAAGTGACTGATACCGTGATAGGCATATGGACAGAAGAAGGCTAAGTTAATAACAAATGACATTTATACACAAATAAATTATTCTAAGTAAAAATTAAGAATATCTTTGATATACTATATTTTTTAGGAATATTAATATAACTTAGCCTTGGCCCTTACATACTTAAAGAAATTTGGGAGTTTTTATTACCAATATTTAATTCAAATGTCCTATATTTCATATCAGACTCATATTAAAAAATTGGATAAACATAGCACATAAAGAAATGGGAACACGGAAATAGCTACTTGTATTCTTAGAACTTGTGTGTTTTGTCAGAGACTCAGGAGATAGTACAAAGAGATAACGTGAGAAGAAGAACTACTTAGTGCCATTTTTCCTGAACTCATACTCCTTTGTATTATGTTCTGTATACTCACTTAGGTAGTTTCCAGGCATCTTGAAACTCCTGCTTATCACAACCACAAGCCTTGAACAATCCCTCTGTCCAGTCCCCAACGATACGGATATGGATGCTGAAGAAGTCTTCCTCAGGAGCAGAGGTCAGTGTGAAGGGGTGCCACTCCAGCTTAGACACTTTGGGGCACTTGACAAAAATGTACTGTCCCACTTCCATCTTGAATCCCTTCTTCTTCATCTGAAGCTCAATGGTCTTGAAAGGATGAGTAACCACCTATGAAATAAAACAAGTCTCTGGAAATGACACTTTTACCAAATACTTGCCTTTTTAGTGTTCATACAGAAAACAGGCTGAGCTAAGGTGTGTCACTCAGGTCCCTATTTCAGGGCCAATCCAGCAGTTCTTCCAGCACATGTGTCTATTAGTGGAAATCATCTTTGGCTATAGCCCATGGTCAATGAGGGGTTGATGAAGGAATACAAAGGTCTGTTCTTCCCTCCTCAATTTGGGACAACTCCAAGGGGCTGTCCCAACTCCAGCTTTCCCTATAGGATCAGCTGAAGTTAGAGCTGCAACCACATCATGGGTCACCTTTTCCTTCTATCCAATCCCACCTCTGTTTCTTCCTTTACAGGTTCATCTCCTAAGAACACACCCCTATAAACCTGCATGCAGTTCTTTGCCTCAGAGTCTTTATCAGAGAATCCAACCTAAGATATCAGCCTATTGCTATTTGTTCTCTCAGAAGTCTAAAAAATTCCTAAAAATAGGAAAAAAGTGATGTTTTTTGTTCAGCTTTCCTAGCTCTTCAGGGAACAAGAGAAGGCCTTAGCACCTGGACAGAAGAAGGAGATCCCATTGGCTAGTTACATAGCAACATCCCCCAAACCAAGCCTCACTCTGGTTTGCTTTTGTCTTTAATCTTAGACCTACCTGATTTTATGCATGTTTCTGCATTTCTCCCTACCTAGGGAGTACACTATCCATCTCCCCCCAAACAGATCTTACCCACCCTTTGCTATCCTTTCTCCACATATACAAATGTTCATAGCAGATTTATTCATAGTAGAAAAACAAAAACAATATAATAGAAATAATCCAAATGTCTATCCAATTAGTGAGTGGATATATGTTCTTTTAATAGAATACAATAAAGAGCAGTACTGAAAGTAATATACCCTTTGGTGATGTCTAGGATAACATCTCGTGTATAATTAAAAACAACCCAAGAGACATCAAAGGAAATAAAAATCAATGGAAAGAAAATATTAGCTTCCTAATATCTGACATTGCTGATCTTTTCTTTTCACAGGTGGGGAATACAGGAGACTGGAAAATTCTTTTAATAAAAATTGTCAAATATTGGGACCAGCAGATAGCAAAGTGGTTACATTGCTGGACTCCCACATGGCCAGTTGTGGTTCAAGTCCTAGACCCACAGGCTTGAAACTCACACCGTGTGTGTGTGTGTGTGTGTGTGTGTGTGTGTGTGTGCCCAAAATCCCAAGAAGAGAATGCAGAAGAAAGGGTTGTGGCATGGCCATCCTCCCTGGGGAGTAATTTCTGGCTTTCTGTCTCTCTGTTTCTCTCTGTCACTCCAGCAAATGCATGTGCCCTATAGCAAAAATCTCCCCCCCCCAAAAAAAATTGTCAACTATTTCAAAACATTCTAATACATTGCATCTTATATGATAGAGCTGTAACCAACTTCCTTCATTTTGAAGACAGAAGATGAAAATGATGTTGAAAAATCTTTTACTATGTTGCAATTTTGTGTGGCAAAAACAATTTTTACCATATAGCAGTTTTGCTACTATAAGCAAAAATGGGATTTAACTAAGTAAAAAGTACTAGTCGACAGGATTCTCATTGGAACAATTTTGATAGTATCTTGTTTCTTTTATTTGTTTATATCAGAAGAAAATTAATACCTATTATTCTTCACAGGAACAAAATGTTTGCTTTAGAATGAAGTACATTTGAGAGGAATATTTGTTTGGTTCAATTGTCTCCAGTTTAGTAAAGGAAATTTTATGACAGTGCATTTTGCTGATCTGTGAGATTTTTGTTATAATACAATGTAAATATCAAAAAAGGAGAACTGTTGTGGTTTTGTATATTTCAAGACTTCCAAGACCAGCTGGGCTAACTTTACTATGTCTCCTGTGGGGTCAAATAAGAAAAGTGAGGGTGGAGTGCAGGAAGAATCTGTGTGTCTTGCAAATTCTTCATACCCAAAATATGATGTTGGTAAAAACTTTTTGAACTGTGTTGAACTGAATTAAATTTTATTTGATAAAAATAGTCCTGAGTGTGGAAACAACAAGTAAGGGTTTCCATTCATATTTATTTATTTTGTGATGACATAGATGAGTAGGGGGAAAGCCACTCTAGAATGTGAATTAGGAGACCAAATTTGAGATGCAGCTTAGTTAATAACTTGCTGAGACTTAGGGCATTTCAAAACTAATATTCTATGATTTTATATATAATGAACAGAAAATGAGATAACCTGGGAAACTAACTCAACCTCAATCAGACCTATCCTTAGTTCCTTAGATCTTTTCAAATCTGAATGTTATAAAACTCAGTTATGCTCTTTTGAACTCATGTTTTTTTCTTCCTTTTCCAGTCTTAACTAATCACATAATGCCTCCACACCTTTCACCTCTAAACAGACACACACACACACATACACACACACACATAGAGTTACACATTGAGGACATTCACGCACACAAAATACTTTGCTTCATTTTATCACAGAAAATTATAAGTTCTAGTTCCCCCAGTTAAGGGCTCCACCATTTGATTATTGAGCTAAGTACATTGGAATAAACAATATATCTTTTCTCTGGTCTAAGTTTAGTTAAAAAAAAAAAACAACTGGGTAAATGGAAGCTCTGATTAGTGATATATAGAACTTGGGTAGACTCATCAATGATAGATGCTGACTACTAGTAACTCCTAAACCAATCAGTACCTTGGTGATGACCACCTTCTGTTGAGATCGCCAAAACCGAACCAACCTCTCACAGAGATACAGGAACATGGGACCCACTATCCATTTCCAAGTCTGTAATCAGAGTAAAATTGAAAATGAGATGCAGTAAGACATGATAGCTAATAGAATATTCAGAGGAATAAAAAGTTTTAGAAGTCAAGTTAATCATTGTAGTCTTGTTTAAATATTTGACATTTGATAAATAAGTTACTTCTACAACAGAATGTATATAAATATATAAAATTAAGATACATTTTTGAGCCAGTGAAAATGAAAATTCTAATTAGTCACATTGGGGAACTGTATCTACAGTATGAAACTTTCCCAAGAGGAACTGCTCACAAGACTGGGATTTCCTATCAGTTTTGCAATTATAGCCGCAATAACCCTACAACATGGCAGGGGAGGTTTCAGAATGAATATTTCCCAAAAGGATAGTATTTCGGCAACATAATATTTTTAATGCAAAATTGCAATTGCTTTCTTTCAGTCATGCAATCAGAGTCTAATCTTTGCAAGATGACACATTTTGTGGAAGAATTTAGCTGTTTATCTAACACCCTGTTAAATTCTGGGAGCTATGTAATGTACTTGCTGAATGGGGACACATCTAAAGATCTTCAGTTTTCTCCAGATACTCCTCTGGTCAGAATCTACACTGTTTCAGAACACTGAAATTATTGTGCAACGTTCTTGGCTATATAAAATCATTTGAACTAAGCAGATCCATCCTGGGCCTCAGTTAGTTGTGGTCCTGCTTTAATAACTGAAATAACAAAGAACTTTAGAAGGTAGTTTCATTTAAAAGATGACTTTCCAGTATGGATTCCAAGGAGAAGAAAAGTCAGGAAGTTCTTCCTAGAGTCACACATATGATCTTTAGATTAAATGATATTTTTAGGAAACTTGTTGGAAGTTGAGAGACCTGAATGTGTCCATCTATAACCAAAGTTGAAGAAAATCAGTTCCAAATGTCCAGAATATTCTGTTGCTGGCCTTCATTTTCATGGGACAAGTATTTAAAACAGTCTCACATCATCCTTCTGTTTTGTGGGTTCTAACATGGGACTCCATTTGTGGGTCCAAATTTGAACATTGCCTTCACTATTTCCCAAAGCCCAGAAGCTCCTTTAAGGTGAATGACTGTTAAAATGAAGTACTTTGACATCATCTGTCATTGAGGAAATGTGCTTTCCCCAGCCAATAAGAGAACCAGAAATATAGTTCCCCTTTTGTCCTTTCTATTGATATCTGCATGGAGTGGGGGCAGTTCACTGATATGTCTAGTCACTTTCATTAATGAGCAAGGATGATTGAAAATGTTAAGTGCTCATAGGACCAGCAGATGGTGTAATGGCTACATTGTTGGACTCCCATGTACTTGATTGTGGTTCAAGTCCCAGGCCTGGCAGCTTGAAATTCATGCCGGTGCGTATGTGTCAAGAATCTCGGGGACCAGCAGTTAGCATAATGGCTATGTCTCTGGAGTCCCATGTAGTCGACCACGGTTTGCATCCCGGACCCGGTGGCTTAAAACTCACGCCGGGCGCGTGTGCATGCGTGCCCAAGATCCCGAGAGGAGAATGGAGGAGAAGGGACTGTGGCGTGGCCATGCCCCCTGGGGAGGGATTTATTGCTTTCTGTCTCTCTGTCTCTCTCTGTCTGTCTGGCGAGCGCACGCGCCCTATAGCGAAAACCTCTCCAAAAAAAAAAAAAAAAGAATCTCGAGAGGAGGAGAATAGAGAGAAGGGACTGCAGTGTGTGCCTCCCTAGTGAGTGATTTCTCACTTTCTGTCTCTCTGGCAAGTGTGCACACCTATAGCAAAAATCTCTCTCTAAAAAAAGTTAAGTGCTCAGATAATATTCTGTGTCTAGAAGAAGAGTATGCCATGCTAAGAGAGCAGGAAAAAAGAAAGTAAATGGGATGGGAATTTTGTCTTTATATTATATGAGGGAGTATTCCAAAAGTTCATGTAAAATGCATTATTACAAAAAAAACTATGCATGAATTTCACTTTTTATTTGTACCAAAATAAACCTGTACTTTAATTCCAATTTTCCACAAACTTTTTGCAATCCCCTAATATTGTGCCTAAAGAAAAAAAATAATAGTCCTGTTCAAAAGTATTGTACAAATACTGGTTTTCGTCTTCTTTTAAGCTAATGACCATCACAATAACCAGAAAAGTATCTATCTTACAATAGAGGAACAGCTATGAAGATTACAGAATCCACTTCCCACTCTATGGTGCAGAGATATTGAGAATACACAAATAGAGTCTTACAGAGCTCCCTATAGAAGAGGAAAAGTATTGGTTCATTGGGAAAATCATGGCACATTTTTGCATAGAAAAATATGTCATGACTTTCCAGATGGCCCAATATTTCACCATGGTTTCTCTTGGTTACCATTGACACACTCTTGCCCTATCACATGGTGCCATTGGGTATAAGTGTGAACCAGACTGTCCAGCCTCCTTTATGTCCCACAGACAGGACCTCCTGATGCTTAAAAGCAGCCCTATGTGTCACCTCATCAATTTCCTTCCCAGTTTCAAAAGTCATATAAGAAAGTCTTACTGCTGGTATCTAAAGAGGCCTCTAGCCCCTTATAAGTGATTTATTTGAACGGTCCAACTCAGCCCAGTTCAGAAAGGCATTCCTAAGTGTTCCTCTTAAAATAATTAACTTATGTTATCATGGCCCTAACATTCAGAAGAAAAGAGATGAAACTTCTTGAATTCAAATGCCACTTAAAGGCACTTCTTTTCCAAGTATAACATGACATTGATGACAGAGTATTGCAATGACATCTTTTGAAAAAAGAATTATTACTAAATGATGTATAGCAATTTAATGTATGAAAAATAATAATAAAATTAGTAAAAATAAATTTTAAAAGAATTATTAATTTAATTTTTATTTTTTTATTATTATTTAACTTGCTATAGGGCATGTGCACTCACCAGAGAGATAGAGACAGAGGGAGATAGAGTGAGATAGAGCGGGAAAGTGAGAAAGCAAGCCATCGGGTCTGGTACTTGAACCACAATTGACCATGTGGGAGTGCCTTAACCACCTTGCCACTTGCTGACCCCTAGATATGATATCTTAGCAGTTTCATGATATTCATAGTGGACAGCTATGACACTTTTACATTTTTTTGGACACACTTTTAAAACTTCCCACAGTGAAACTGCAATAGCAACAATAAACTGCACATACCATAGGAGGGTTCCCAGAGAACTGTGGGATGGGACACTCCTTTATTTTTCCCCATTGGGTGATCCTCTCAGAACATACTGTTGTATTGTGCTCAGCCATACTCTCTCTGGTCTGCCCACGTACAATTCGTCTGTAAAAAAAGTACAAGACCATTTAGTAAAAAGAAATTAAGCTGTTTGTTTTTCTTATATTCTAGGTATATTTTTAAAAGAATTATTTCATTTTATAAACTTTTACTTATTTATTTATATACTTATTTATTTTAATTTGACCAGAGAGGGATAGAGAAAGAGAGAAAGGGAAAGCGAGAAAGCAGGCTGCCAGGTCTAGGACTCGAAATGTGATCAGCCATATGTGAGTCCAGTGTCCTTAGCTGCCACGCCACCTGCTGGCCCTGAGATTCTAGGCATGTTTAAGTACTCTAACATGGGTCCTGTAATTTTCATTTAAAAGTAATTATCTTATAGCCCTCCTCTGAACAGATTAGAGGAAGGAAAAGACAATAGGAGATCTTCTGCAATAAGAAAAAATATGTACAATGTTACAAAGAATATTTACATGTAACATCATGCAGGGAAAGTCTTAGATCGTTAGTGTGTGTGTATTTAAGGGAAAAATTTGCTTCTGTCTTGAGTATCATTTTAAGTTACAAACAGAAACAGAAAATCCATAAATCTAACAGGGTGATTGCTAACCCAGAAAGCGTCTTTGTGCAAATTAGAAAATGGCACCATCCCACTTGGGACCAGCAGGTGGCGTGGCAGTTAAGGGCACTGGACTCCCACATGGCTGACAGTGGTTAGAGGCT